TCTCGGAGCTCTGCGCGGAGTTCCTGGATCGGCGCCGCACCCTTCTCCTGGCGCGCTCCGCGCCCTAGGGGCGGCGCCCGGCGAGCCGCAGGGGGGACCAGCGCAGATCCAAGAACTCCGCGCGGGTCTACACAACGCTGTGCTTCTTGTTTGTGTTGTGATTGGTCATTCGTTGTTCGAGGTCGACTGTGTCTGGAGCATATGCGGCGTGCCGCAAGTTCGAGGGCGGGGCGTGTGATGTGGACGGGCCCAGAAGGCAAAGTCGCTCAACATCTGTCCCCAGACCCCTAACGGGGTCGGAACCGACAAACTTTTCAAGCCGCGTCCAGCCGTGGCGACGAGATAGGCCACTATCCCCACTTCTTGCGAACTAGAAGGTGGAACAGTGGAACCCCATACCCCCGGCGACTGTTTTCTGCTTAAACAGTGTATACATAAGAAAGGGATGTTGACCCCCAGAGGTCTACACCTATTCCCTGGGACCGCCTCTCCTCCCGAGTCGTTTTTCGACGACCCTGGGGCGTGGCGAGGGCCCGCAGAGGCCGCACATGGCAAAACAGAACGCCCGTCGTTCCTTTTCCGAGGGGGCTCGGAACCTTCGGTGGCAACTCATGGGAGCCTCCCGTACCATCCTGCTGGATCTAGCGAACCGACGCGAACCGACGCAATTCGACGCTGAGTCGACGCTGAGTCGACGCTGATCGACGCCAAATCGGCGCGCTCTCGTCGATGACCAGACGCTGGCGCACGCGAGTGCACTGCAAAGTCGGAGTTGCGAGGACACGCAAGACTCCTGTGATTTGCCAACGAAGAGGCCCATGGTGGGCAACCTCAGCAGGCGGTGGACAAACCTCCCTTCAGCAAACCACCCTTTAGTGAGAACGGCCTAGAGCCGAAACCGACGGACCTGGACCCGCAAAAAATGACGTCCTCGGCGCATCTCGCGAATCGAAAACGGCCAAATCGCTAATCGACGTGTCCAGACATGCGACGTCCTGATTTTTTCAGCACGGCGCCCCTGGAAGTTCCGACCCTTTCCCCGGGACCGGCTTCTGATCCTGAATCGTTTTCTGCCGGCCCCGAGGCTCGGCGAGGGCCCCCCGGGGCCGAAAACAGCCCCAAACCTCCCGTCCCGATTCTTGAACGGCGCGATCGTGTCTGGCTCCGGATCCGCCCTCTGGCCGCCTGAGGCCCCGCCCGCCTGTGCCCTGTCTCCCCAATTAGAGCTGTGCGTAGCCCGCCTGGCTTTTACCAGAAGAGGTTCGCTCTCGCCCCGCAGACCAAAAAGAGGCTCGGCGAGGGCCCCCCGGAGCCGAGAACAGCCCCAAAACCTCCCGTCCTGATTCTTGAACGGCGCGATCGTGTCTGGGCCCGGGCCGCAGCCTGGGCCTGCTGCAGGGGGGCGCTCCCCGGGCGGACCCGGGGAGCGGAGCGCCGCGCCACGACCGGCGCGCCCGGCGTGCCTGGCGTGCCCGGCGCGCCCGCACCCCACCGGGCGGCCCCGCGGGCTCGCCCAGGCTCCTCCTCCTCCTCCTCCTCCTCCTCCTCCTCCTCCCCCTCCCTCCTCCTCCTCCTCCTCCTCCTCCTCCTCCTCCTCCTCCTCCTCCCTCCTCCTCCTCCTCCTCCTCCTCCACCCTCCTCCTCCTCCTCCTCCTCCCCTCCTCCTCCTCCTCCTCCTCCTCCTCCTCCTCTTCCTTCTCCTCCTCCTCCCCATCTCCTCCTCCTCCGACATCGCAGGCCTAGAGGTTGACACCAACACCAATGTCGGCGGTGTGCTTCCACCAAGGGAAGGCGATCCCGATCTCGGCGATGGTGGTAAGATTCTGGCTTCCATGGTGGCCGAGATGGCACCACCAACACCAACAAAGATGTGATCAGCTTCCCCTTTTGGAGGCACCCCCCTGTGTTGGCGTTGGTGCCCATTTCCAGGCCTCCAACGACATGGTGGCGGAAAGAGTGGGCACGATGCCCAACAACAAACCTGGACCACCTCGAGTCCTGACAAGAATGACGGCGTTACATAGCGACCTTACGCGGTGGCGTAGGCGACAGCGCGGCACGCTGCATTGGAGACGAAGGCGCTTACGCGCGAGCGTACACGGGTAGCCTACGCGCCAGTGTCGGCGCAAACGGCCGCATTGTCTTGCCTCGCTCAGGTGACTGGGTCAAGACCTCTGGGGTCCACGTTATGAAAAAATGCTCAGCAACAAAAATCCAGACCCCTTTGAGTCCTGACAAGAATAACGGCGCTGTCAGGGGACATTTTTTCGGCGAGGGCCTCAGGAGGCCAAAAACGGCGAAAAATCTCCGTCTTGCAATTTGTCAACAATTTGGATCTCTCGGGCCCTGTCCTCCGGGAGCAAAGTTTCTGGTGACCCAAAAGGAGGTCCAGCTGAAAGGGGTGGTGCAATGGATATTGCAAGTTTATTGCGCTGGAGAATTGCATTTTGTATTGCATTGTATTGCAAGTAATGTATTGCACGCGAAAATCCAGCCCCTGGAATGTAATCCACACCTCACATGTATTGCAACCCCACAAATCCATTGCACCAGCTCTAGTGCACCACCCGCTTGTCGCTGGACCCCCTTTTGTTGGGTCGGGCGAAAGGGGGGGATAGCAAAGGGGGGGTTGAGAATCATTTCACGCAGCTGATGTTCCCGGCGCCTCCCGGCGCCGGGAGGCGGCTATGCATCGAGGAATGGGCCCCTCTCGGTGGGGCCGAAACCAGCTGCATGCAGCAGATTTCGTAGCTCCCCCTTTCCCAATCCCCCCCTTTTCGCCCGGCCCGATTTTGGGTCAACCCGAAATGCTTCTCCATGGCACCTCTGAGAAATCGACCCCGGACCTTTCCGCATTCTGGCCAGGACCTTGCTCGCTGCGCGCGCGAACATCCGCGGGCCAACGCGGCCGCAGAGATGCACCAGCCAACACCCAGCTCTCATCGCAATCGCTCCCGCATGAGTTTTGCAAACCAAATTGCGGGTGGGTGGGTTGGATGATTGCGCGAGCAATGGCGTTGTCAACTTCAAGTTCGGCAAGCGAATCGCACCACACATATCGAACAACATGAATTGAAGCCACATGGGTTGCACCACATAGATTGCCCTACAATAGTTATACAATGTAGAGTCTCCGCTCTAACAGAACATAGGTTCTACCACCCTCCCCCCCCAACTTATCCACTCCCCGGGAAACGACGCAACACACATATCATTCTGACCACTGTCCAGCCTACCAGAAAGTTCATGCTAACCCAGCTAGGCCGGTATCGCCCCCCCCCCCTGGTTCCCTTGCAGAAGAAATTATGCGCGCACTCGTTTATCACAAATCATACGTGTTCAACCATCCCTTGCAAAACGTACGACGAAGTGCACACGGGCGCGTCGCCGCGCGCGCATGCCAGAATCTTTCAAAAAACATTCGGTTTCGGAAAGGTTTCAAAATCGAGTGTCCAACGAACATACAACATGGTTTCGCAATATGGATGTTCAACAAAAGCGCGCGCGCGCTCTTGCGAATTCTTAAGAAAACCCAAAGAATTTTCAATTTTGTCAGTACATGCTACCAAACGGGCTTCGCACGCGCGCGTGCTGAGATGTCACGATCCGTGTCAAATGATACCGTGCGAGCCACTCTCGCGCGTCTGCCGCGCGCGCATTTCGAATTCCTTCCAAAACCTCCATCACCGACGCGAAGACGCCGTCATCGTCGTCGGCGTGACCAGCATCGGCGCCGTCACTGGCTGCCCCGTCGTCGCTGTCAGCATCGTCGCCAGCATCGCTACTGTCATCATCGTGTCTACCGTCGCTGACGTTGCCATGATACCGCGCCCGCCCAAGTCGCCGATTCGCACTGAAGTGCCCGCTCGGATGTGCCGAGCGGTCAGCGCCACCGCGTTCGCGTCGGTCGCGCCAAATATAGCTGGCCGCTGCGCGCGCGAGCATGCGCGGGCTAGCGCGGCCGCAGAGATGCACCAGCCAACACCAAGCAGTCATCGCAATCGCTTCCGCATAGGGGTTGCAAGCTAAGTTGTGGGTGGGTGGGTGGGATGTTTGCGCGAGCGCTGGAGTGGAGAACTTCAAGTCGAGCCTTGGTGAATTGCATCGCGTAGGTTGCACCACACTAACACTGCACAGCATATACGGTGCTACATATACTATCCAACATGGGCTGCATCACGCAAATTCCACAACGCAGACCGCACCACATGGATTGCACCCCATAGATAGCACAACATATGTATATATATGTATATATGCGTATATATACATATATATGTATTGCCCTTCGCACCGGCTCCTCTGCATAAATCGTAATAGGTTGCACCACATCGATTGCATCACACCAGATGTATTGCACAGCGTAGATTGGACATCGTAGATTGCAGAACATAGGTTGCACAACATACATTGCACCACATAGATTGCACCACGTAGACTACCCAACATAGACTGCACCACATAAGATGCTGAGACACACCGTTTGGGCCCCACGCTGGCCAACGTGCTCGACTCTCCCATCACAGGGCCGCCCACTGCGAGTGCAACATCGAAGACCGATCGAACCCACGACAGAACCCAAATCGGCCGAACTCGACCGGCCGCATGCAGCCCATAATGGGCGAAACGAAGCGGCAACGACACGATCATCGACCGAACCGAACCAAGCGAATGCAACCGAGAGCGACGCAACCGGACCGACCGAACCGCGAACACCCTTTGGATCATGGCGAAACTTCGGGAGTTGCTAGAGGTGTCTCTGGCCCAGGGTGCCCCAAGCTTTGTGCTCAATCTTGGAGCCCCCAGGGCCCTCTTGGCCTCGTGAGGGGCGCTCTGGAGGCCGTGGGGGCCTTCTTGAAGTCATCGGGGCTCCTCAGGCCAGGGGCACGTCTAGCAACACCCGGAAGCTGGGCCGCTCGCATCTCCGCCATGTCGATCGTGCCAGAGCCGTCCTTGTCGGAGGCGTTGAAGGCCTTGCGCTGCTCGATGAGCCTCCGCTCCTCTCGCGGCGGCGCGGGGTTTGCATTCGGGAGGGGCGCCTCGAGGCCAAGGGGGCGCGCGGGAGAAGAGAGAGAAGTGGCACCTTCCAAGCTCCAGTGCAACAGGGGGGCAAGTCAGTTGCTAAACCCCTCCCGACAAAAGCTCCCCAAAGGTCTGCCTGCCTATCCGCCCCCCCTGCGAAGGGGAGGAACATGGACCTGCGGGCCAAACTGAGGCAGATCGGGGATCTACTGACCTGGGTCAATCCGAGCCCAGGTCAGTCGGGCTCTCTTAGATCCTGCAGCGTCCTGCGCGCTAGCCCGGGTCAATGAACCCCTGGCTCTGCAGGATCCTAGGGACCAGACAACAACACCAACCCCCCTACGACCCCACGGGGCTTAGCGTATGCCAGGAAATCCAGCGAGGGCCTGGTAGACGCTGCGGCCCCCGATGAGCCGTAGCACAACCTGGAGGGCCGTAAGTGGGGTGGTGTCGCTTGTTTTTGAGCCGATCCTGCAACTGATCTCTGGCGCTCTGGCTGACCCCCGTTTGCACTGACACCGTCTCAAGGCTCCCGAGCGCTGTCTCCGCTCGGCGAGCGGGCGTGCCGGCCACACCACACCCCTCTCCCCTGCTCTCCTACCCAGGTCTCGCTCCTCGCTCCTCGTCGGTCCTCCTCCTCCTCCTCCTCCTCCTCCTCCTCCTCCTCTTTCCTCCTCATCCTTCTCTTCCTCCGTCGCCTCCCCCACGCCCTGCCCCCCCCCCCATTCCTCCTCCTCCACCCCGTTCCTCCTCCTCCTCCTCCTCCACCCCGTTCCTCCTCCGCCACCTCCTCCTCCTCCTTCTCCTCCTCCTCCCATGCCTCCCTACGCTTTTCCTTCCTCCCCGCTCATGTTCTCTCATCGCCCTTCCTCGTTCCTTCTTCCTCCTCCATCTTCCCCGTCCTCCTCCTCCTCCGCCTCCTCCTCCTCGCTCCTCCTCCTCGCTCCTCTCCTCCTCCTCCTCCTCCTCCTCCTCCTCCTCGCTCCTCCTCGCTCTCGTCCTCCTCCTCCTCCTCCTCCTCCTCTTCCTCCTCCTCCTCCTCCTCTCTCCTCCTCCTCCTCCTCCTCCTCCTCCCCCTCTCCTCCTCCTCCTCTCCCTCCTCCTCCTCCTCCTCCTCCTCTCCTCCTCCTCCTCCTCCTCCCTCCTCCTCCTCCTCCTCCTCTCCCCCTCCCCCTCCTCCTCCTCCTCTTCCTCCTCCTGCTCCTCCTCCTCTTTATCCTCCTCCTCCTCCTCCTCTCTCCTCCTCCTCCTCCTCCTCCTCCTCCTCCTCCTCCTCTGCCTCTGCCTCCTCTCTCCTCGTCCTCCTCCTCCTCCTCCTCCTCCTCCTCCTCCTTCTCATCGTCGTCGTCGTCGTCGTCCTCCTCCTCATCCTCCTCCTCCTCCTCATCCTATTCCCCCCTCTCCCCTCCCCGCCATGCCTCTCGGGAGGGGTGGATGGTGAATGGGCGAGGGGCAAGGAGGAAGAGGAGAAGGAGGAGGACCAGAGTAAACACAGTTTTTTTGATCTGCAGGGCGAGAGCGAACCTCTTCCGCTTAAAGCTACACCAGAATAAACACAGGAAACGCCAACAACGCTACAATACACCCTCCCGGCCCGAGTTCCCTCCTCTCAAGTCTCCACCACCACAGTGCTCCTCTACGCCGCTACGCGCCCCGGTGAAAGACAAGCGCCCAATAGCTATGCCATTCTGGCAAGTCTCCCGTTGTACGCACGAGCTGCCTTGGATACTGCTAGCGAGGATGCCCTCGTAGTCGGCAAACACCGGGATGCGTGGATGAGTCTCGTATGGTTCCACGGTCCTCCGCCAGGGACGTGAAGCCGCACTAGAGATAATGGCTGGGGGGCACCCTTGTTGAGAAGGCCTCCTACGCCCTGGCTGCCTTCCGGAGTTAAGGCCCCCTTAGGCGGGCCTTTGACGCCTGTCCTGCCCTGTGACCGTTCTTCGATCCGAATGACGCCCAACTAATCGAGCACCGCAACTCTCACCAATCAACCTTGGAAAACTACGCATTCCCGAGCAACCGGGAATTTCAGGGGAGCCCGACAGGCCGGAGAACACGCTGCCGCGGCTATGCTTTTCCGCGTCCAGTCCGCATGGCGGGCGGCAACAAGCGCCATTTCTCTCTGCAGCATTGCAGATCCACGTGGTGAGCAGATGCGAGCCGTATGTGAGGTAATGATGCAAAGAGCTTGCGCGGAACTGGGGCGAGGAGATCGACGCCGTGCCGCGAGGCCCGCGGGGCCCACGTCCGAACCGTGTGTGTGGGGGGGGCGGCGAGGGCAGAGGGAGATGTGGTGAGAGCCCGCCGGAGGGTCGTGGTGGCCTCCTGCCAGCTCTCACGACCAGCGCTGGGAAAACCAAATAGAAAGGTTAGAAGACGTGGAGGGATGGGAGGAGGAGGGGAGCGATGTCCTGTCCCAACCCACCCGTGTTGTTGAATCCTCGTTTTGAATCAGCAACACCGCGTGTCTCGCCGTTCTTAACTCCCGCCTCCCCTTCCCCTCATTATCTTTCTCGTTTCTCCTTGGATTCCTCCACCTGCGGCCCCAATATGGGCGCCCACATGCGTCCCCAAACCCATGTCGGCACGCCCCATCACGGGATGGTGGCGCTCCACCACCGCCTTCGCGTGGATCACGGCCCCGTAGGGAGCTCCACCTACAGCCCCAATGGAATCGTTGACATGCGTTCCCACCTGAATTTCGGCACACCCACCACGCGGATCGCGGCCCCACGGGAAACTCCTTCCACGGCCCCAGCGAGGGCGTTCAGACCACACCCCGAAGGTTCGCATGCAGGCCCACGCACAAGTCGGCGCACCCATCCCACGGATCGTGTCGCACAGGGACTCCGGATCTCCACCTACGAGCTCAGCAGGTGCGTTCGTATGCGGCCCCGCGGGGGACTCCACCTGCGGCCCCCGCGTGCGGCCCCCGCGTGCGGCCCCCGCCCATGCTGGCACACCCCTCGGGCGGACCTTGCCGCACAATGACCCGAACTCCATCCGCACCGCGGCGCATGGAGAACAGAGAGGAGGGCCACGCCTGGCACTTCGCGCATCTGCGTAGGGTTGGGCCCTTCGACGCGCGAGTTTTCTCCAGCGGCGATGCGCTCCCGCACGGGCCGTGGCGGCCTGGGCGCACGTGCGCGGCGGAATGCCACAACGCGGCAGAAGGACGGCGCAGGAACGCGCGGCGGTGAAGGTCGCACGCGGCCGCGACGTCGAGACAGGCCACAGGACTCCCGTGGCGCTGGGGAGGACGGGGGAAATGGGCTGACGAAGTCTTCGCATTATCTTGAGTTCTGCAAAGCCGCGTATCGACAGGAAACTACAGGGTTCTTACAAGTGAAAAATGGGAAATGGAGGACGGAGGGGGGAGGATCGTTCAGGCGGGACACGGAGATAGCATAGAGGCAGGGAGGAGGGATGAGCAGGAAAGGTGAAGAGAAGGAGGCAGGGGGAGATAAAAGAGAGAGAGAGAGAGAGAAACAAAAACAATAGAAAAACAAACAAAAGAGAGTGACCGAGAGCGAGAGAGGGAGAAAAAAAGAGAACGAGAAGGAGAGAGAGAGAGAGAGGAAGATCGGACAAGTAAGCGGGAATCCCGTCGACAGCCGGCTACTGCGGTAGCCAAGGCCGCCATCGCACTCTTGGCGGTGGTGCGCACCTTCGGGAACAGGGGATGCTGAAACAACCGCCCCCCTGCGCTAAGCGACTGAGTCCCAGGGACGGTGTGGTGAGCAGGCGATACGCCAAGTCTCTCTGCGCCCCGCGTGGGACAAGGGCCCATGTCGACAAAGCCCCGTTTGGCAGTTGGGGGACAACGGCTTGACCACTGCTTGCGAAGGACGGGGCGTCCCCAGCCGCCGCAATCATGCCCCGATGGTGCGCGGCCGCGCGGTCATCCGGGCTGGTAAAGAGAGAAAGAGAAAGAGAGAGACGGAAATAGAAAGAGAGAGAGAGAGACACATATAGAGAGGTATAGAAAGAGACGGAAAGAGAGATACTTTAAAAAGGGGAACGAGAGAGAGAGATAGAGAGAAGGAGAGACGGAGAGAAAGAGGGAGGGAGGGGGGGGGGGGGGGGGGGGGAAAGAGGCACACACGATGTGGGAGGGGAAACGGGACTAGACAAGCGCAGGCAAGGACATGGCAAGAACTCACCGTCGAGCTTTCCGTGAAGGGCACGCCCTGCAGGGCGAACGCCACCCTGCAACGTGTGCCATGACGTCCCGCAAGGCCTACCGGCCTTGCGGGGAGGGGGGTTTGACGACGAAGAGGAACGTGCTCTGCGTCAGAGTGAGTAAGCCGAACGGTCATTCGCTTTCCCTGGGCGCGTGGCTGAAGTGGGGTTGCGCGGGGCGGATTGTTGTCATTGTCGTTGAACTCTCATTTCCGAAAAATAACTATTGTTGATCCCCCCACCGGTGCATACTGTTTTTTATCCATCGAAGTGTGCCCCTCGACGCTCGCACCCTGTTTGTTGACAGGAACAATCTTGATGCTCAAACTGTGCCCCTGGCCCCAATCCGCCGACCCTGCCGGCGTGTGTGAGGGGTTTCTCCATTCGCGTCGTGCTTTCTTTCCTGCTCGACTTTCTCTAGCCGCATCCAGCTTCCACTCACTGTTCTCCCGCTCTCGGTCAGCAGAGTCCTCTTCCTTGCACATGCCGTGCCAAGCAATTGATTTAACGTCATCAATACTTCGAAGGGAAGCCCCTTCCCTTTTTCCTTTCCCCGGTGCGGGGGGGGGGGGGGCCGTACCCAGGGGGGTCCCGGGGGGTCCTCGGGGGGTGCGCCCCCCCCCCCCCCCCCAGATCCGACTCCCCCGGCAGCCTTCGAAAAAGCCCGGAGGGCGTCGCGAGGAGGTTCTCGTCCTCATCCTCCTCCCCCTTTCCCTGCTCCTCCACCCCCTCCTCGTCCTTTTCCTCCTGCTCATCATCATCATCCTCCTTGTCCTCATCTCCTACTCCACCT